TGCCGGGCGCTGCACAGACACACAGCGAGAGACAGTCCCTGCCCCAGCTGAGATCAGGGCCCCATTGTGCTGGGTGCTGCACAGACACACAGGGAGAGACAGTCCCTGCCCCAGCTGAGATCAGGCCCCGTTGTGCCGGACAGGCCTAGAGACTGGCGTGTGGAATTAATGAAGCTATGCCCTTGGCCTCACTGAAATTCTGTGGCAGAGAGTTCTGCAGGCTACCTGCATGCTTTGAGAGGAAGTATTGTTTCCCTTGATCTGGTTTCAAGTCCCCTGCTTTCAACGCCATTGACTGTCCCCTGGTTCTTGTACCCTGAGACCAGGTGAATCACAGAACCCCATCGACCTCCCCTGAACCCACCCGTTGTTTTGTGATCCTCTGCCATGGTAATTGCCATGATTAAACGGCCCTTGGCTAGCAGAAATCTTCTCCCCCTGTTGGGTCTTATAGTCTGTGATCAAGCCACCTCTTATCCGGGCTGTGGGTCAGCTAAACAGATCAAGCGCCAGACGGCAGCTCTCCCAGACCTCGAGTCCTTTGCGTGGCTCCTATCTGAGCCCTTTCCCACTTGGCAAGAGCCTGCGTGAATGATGGACGCCAGAGAGTCTCCAGTAAGGGTCTCCCCAAGGCTGTGTACACTGGATCTTGGGGTACCCACCTCGTTAACCCCTGCCTCCAGGGAGAGGGAGTCTTGCTTACAGGAACTGGTGGTCAATTCCCTAACCCCACCAGCCTGTCCTCCTCGCAAGCCCTCTCCTTTAGGCTGGGCCAGCCCTGGCTTTGCCCGTCAGCTGCACCCCAGTCCCCAAGTCCCTTTGCAGCGCTCGCCTGTGACATCCAGCCCTGACACTGGCTCCTCCCAGAAATCCCAGATCCTCTGCCCCCAAAGCAGCAGCGTACTCCAGTTTACCTGCTTCACCCTAGGCCGCCGCTCCCGTGAACCACGCAGCCCGTGCGGTGAAACCAACAAAGGTTTATGTCAGAAAGAACATTTCTGCCACCAACGTTCCCACCCCAGTGCAGCCTCACACCCAGCGTCCAGAGACCCAAGCCCCAGAGCGGTGCACGAACCGGGGCAAGATCAGCCCTCCTCCACCTACCTAGCCTGTGGGGCCACATCGGGTAAGCGTGCTCAGCGCCTGTTCGCTGGATCAGGCCCTGCAGAGATGCTCACTGAAAGTGGGAGGGGAGCTACCGTGTAACTTTCAGCCCTGTGGTTATAGCCTTTGGCTGGGATGTGGGCTGTATAAGTAGGGGCATTGCCAGCAGATCGAGGGACGTGATCCTTCCCCTCTATTCGGCACTGGTGAGGCCTCATCTGGAATACTGTGTCCAGTTTTGGGCCCCACACTACAAGGAGGTTGTGGAAAAATTGGAAAGAGTCCAGCGGAGGGCAACAAAAATGATTAGGGGTCTGGAGCACATGACTTATGAGGAGAGGCTGAGGGAACTGGGATTGTTTAGTCTGCAGAAGGGAAGAGTGGGGTGGGGGGGGCGGGAATTTGATAGCAGCCTTCAACTACCTGAAGGGGGGTTCCAAAGAGGATGGATCTACACTCTTCTCAGTGGTACCAGATGACAGAACAAGGAGCAATGGTCTCAAGTTGCAGTGGGGGAGGTCTAGGTTGGATGTTAGGAAACACTATTTCACGAGGAGGGTGGTGAAGCACTGGAATGGATTACCTAGGGAGGTGGTGGAATCTCCTTCCTTAGAGGTTTTTAAGGCCCGGCTTGACAAAGCCCTGGCTGGGATGATTTAGTTGGTGTTGGTCCTGCTTTGAGCAGGGGGTTGGACTAGATGACCTCCTGAGGTCCCTTCCAACCCTGACGTTCTATGATTCTATGAGTTTAATTCCCCCCTCCCACCTCCCAGTTCGCTAACCACTAGGCTGCAGGGTCACTCGCCAACTTGCTCCTTCTCTAGCCCAATGAGTCTTTCATTAGTTGACCAGCACCAGCAGAGGAGAAGAAGGGTGCCCCTGTGCTAGACTCTCCCATAGCCCAGCGCTTAGGGTGCTCCCCTGCGAGGTAGCGGATCCAGAGGTGCCGGAACCGGGAGGCCAGGGGATCGCCTGTTGGTTCCCTAACCTCACCAGTCTTTCAGCTTCTCAAGCCCCCTCCTCTGGGCTACGCCAGTCCCGTCTCTGGCTTGCAGGTTAACGATAGCTGCACCCCAGTCCCCGCGTTCCTTTGCAGGGTTCCCCTGTGACATCCAGCCCTGACACCGGCTCCTCACAGAGATCCCAGCTCCTCTGCCCCTGAAGAAGCAGCATGCCCCCGTTGACCGCACCGCTCCCATAAACCACACAGCACGTGCAACAGATCACAAGCGGGTTTGTTTCAGGAAGAACGGAGATTCCACTAGAAACAAGAGAGCGTGATGGAAACACACAGTTACCACACAAAACCACAACACGCAAACCAGGGCCTGTCCTTACTCCTAGTTCCCTTCCCCAGCTAGGAAAGGAGAGTCCCCCCCTCCCCTCAGTTCAGTTTATGGCAGAGCTAACTGGCTTCAGGATCCGATTGTGCCCAGAACACCCCCGTTCACCACGGCACCTCCAGGGGTGGGTTCAAAGTGCCCTCTGAGTTACGCTGAAACAGTCATTTGTCTTCATCCATAGAACGGGTGATCCCCCGTCTGCTGTAATGTTCCTTTTATGCCTCCACGTGGGGTTGATTGTTTGTCGTTGCCTTTGATGGTTTTTCCTTGACTCTTCAAGGCAGCCAATTGAGCCTTATACGACATCGCCGGCTAGCCAGGGAGGGGTGGCAACTAGCCCCCGGCACTAACAAGCCCTGTAGACTCCTTCTAAACTGAAGACCATGAGGGCATATATGTCAACACAGTTACAACGGTCCTTAAAAGCTACCTGTGCGCACATCACGCTGTGATCCTGAACATGCCTAATTTCAGTAGAGACCGTACACGTTACCCTTGATGGACAAACACCCTGGGAGCAAGGCATTTGATGGAGTGAGTTTGTCGGGTCTGAGACGAGCATTGCTGACTTTCCCAAAAGGCCTTTGTGTCACTGACACCACCTCCCTACGCTTGCTCTTAGCGATGACGGCGCGGACTGAAGTGCAGACGTAAGAGGTTGGGATGAGATCTAAAACCCTCATGCTTCAGGGCATCACTCAATCTCTTTCATACAGCGGTCAGGAAGAAATGTTCCCTGGGGGCAGTGTCATGGAGTTCACTCACCGTTCGGGTGCCTCCTGCTGGCTGCTCTGGGGATTAGCTCTTGCCAGATCTGGCGCTCCCTTCTGACGCTCGTCCACACACCCAGCCACCTCTCTCTGCGACTCGGGGTTCTCGTTCTTCATGGCTTGGCCCTCTGACTAGGTCACTATAGTCCTCACCTTCTGAGGTCCCAACTTCCCACTGGATGACCGTCCTAGAGAGCCTTCTGCCCCACTGCCTGGTCTGTGTCACTTCCCCTGTGGCTGGTAGGGGAACCCGGGCCCACCCTTTACTCTGGGTTCCAGTCCAGGGACTGCACAGCCCCTTAACTTGCTATGGTTTCCCTAGGCTACTTCCTACTTTGCCTCTATCAGGCTCTTTCTCCACCTTCCTCTGGGTACGTCCTTCCCTCAGGGCCAGGACCCCAGGGCTTCTCATCTCCCCCTAGTTCTTCGTCTCCCAGTCCATGGCTGGAGAATCAGCCAAGGCCTCCGTGCTGCAGCCCCTTCTGCCGCCAACTTCCTGGCTCTGCCATAGTCCTGCCTGTTCCTTCCCAGCTGGGCTCTATTCCCAAATCAGGGGTTGCTTGTCCCACCTCATTCCCTCTCAAGTTAATCGGCCCCCTTCTCAGCCTCCTTTACCCCATCCCAGCGGGTCTGGGGTGAACATCCTGTCAGGGCAAGTTATCTAGTCCCTGTGTGGTGCTTTGAGCAACCCTGAGTGTCTCTGTGGTTTCCAGGATGTTTGATCTCCTTCCACACCAGCTTTGCAGCTCATGCTGGTTTTGCAGCACCCGGTCATTGCAGAGCTGTGGTTTGCGAGCAAAGCAACAACGTGACAAAGGGGAAAATCCACCGCCGGGAGCATAAATAGCTCAGCTCCCGCCACAGGGCCTGGACCCAGAATTGCGCCGGAGGCCGAGGGTTGGGATCAAGCCTCTGTCAGCAGCGAGGGAAGGGAAATTGCTGAGAAGCCGGATCACTGAGCAGGTGAGTAGCTACGTGGGGTGTCTTTGGAGATCAGCTGCCTTTCCACTCGTTTCACTGCTAGGTCCTGCTTGGAGCGTCCCCATACAGAATCCAGGGAGGATGTTGTCCCCACTCTCAGGGATTAACTGTATCCACCTTCCCCATCTGGGGATGGCCGGGAAGAGTCCAGTTCCCAGCGGGTTAGTTACGCCGGGTTCATCTCTCTGGCTCACATCCAAGGCATTGCTTTGATGAGGGAGTCTCTCGACTCCTGGCTGCGTGTATTTCCTCCCTGGTGTCAGGGCCGGCTTTCTCTGCAAAGGCTCCCCTACTCTGATTCGAGAAAAGCATCTTTGTAAGGAAACCTTGCTCCGATTCCCGATTTGAGTCCGAAGGCACCTTGATTCTGGATAGTACAGGTTCAAAAACCGAGCTGGTCAAATTCTTTTCAATGGGAGGATTCGGATGAAAAATACAGTTTCATCAGCGTCCGATTGTTTTGTGGGAACACGCTGATTTCGATGGCCTTTTCCATGGGAAAAAGTCAAAATGTTTCATTTCAACGTTAGAGAGAGAAGGTGGGTGAGGTAATATCGTTTATAGGACCAACTTCTAGGACAGACGTGACTACCACAGCATTTCAACGTTATCTTTTTATTTGGACAGTAAAATATTCATTTTCATGTTATTATACTTTAGATATACTCTTCAATGTTGTATATATAATGTAATCTAGTTATTAATAAGTAGAATAGAAAGATCAGAAGATAAAGTCAAAATGAAACTTGACAGCGGCTTTGAACTAAAACATCTTGACTAGAGCTGCTGAAATTTCTGAGCAAAATATTTTTCTGGAGGAAAATGCAGTTTCGGTGACTCCAAAACATTTAAGGAATTTGTGTCTATTTGGCTAAATTGTTGGGAGGCAAGGGAGAAAACCCTTCACATTTTTTGAAAAAATCAAAATGTTTAAGTTGGATATGTTTTAAATGAAAATGTTTGGTTGTTGGTTTTTTTGGTTTGAAACAACTTTTCATTTAGAAAGTCCCTGTGGTTTTGTTTTGAAAAACCAAAACCTTAAAAAAGGGACCAAACTGGAATGAAACATTTCATTTCAGGTCAAACCAAATGTTTCGCTTGCCTCAAAAAGATTAGCGTGACGCTTATTTACTTGATGATGTGCCAGAAATTTTACAAACTGCGTTGTTCATTCAGCCCCAAATGAATCCCTTTCCCCCAGTTTTTCAGAATGGTCAGCAAACCGGAAAAAAAATCATTATTTGCCCAGGTCTAGTTTTGATACTTTAGAAACAAAATAATTCGATGGTCCTGAGCTGAAATATCTCGGCACTTTCATTTTGCGGGAAATTTTGGCTTTTGGTTCCAATTCAGAACAATCCCCTTGCCCCTCCCCGCCCCCTCCTCCCCCGCAAAATGTCGGCATTTCCCATGGGATGGAAACACCCCATTCCCAACCAGCTCTAGTGGAATCAGGGCCAAATGCTGACCTCTGTGAATCCAGTGTAAATCCAGACTGAGCCCACTGGTATCAATGGATTCAGGATTCTGATCTCAGTGACCCCGGTGTAAATCCGGACAGATACCGCTGATATCAATGGCATCTGATCTGGACTATATTCTGTTCCCAGCAACTCTGGTGTAAATCCGGAGTGACACCGCTGATATCATTGGAGTCAGGGCTGGATTCTGATCTCAGTGACCCCAGTGTAAATCCAGAGCGACCCCAATGGAGTCAGGGCTCGATGCGGATCGAGGGGCAATGTGGATTGATGCTATCTTCCCGCACGTGGCATTCCCACTCGAGGTTTCCTGTGTATCACTCTATTATCTCTCTCACACTCTTCCCATCTCTCACTCCCTGGAGGGCTCCCTCTCTCAACCATCTCCTCCTCCCACGCTCTCTCCTCGCTCTATCAGTCTATCTGCCTCCCACCCCGGCTCGCTCTTTACCCTCTCACTGGGTTTCCTCTGCAGACGCGCTGATCCTAGACGTCACGATGGCTCCCAGGCTCGTGGGGCATCTCTGGAGGACAGCGGGACGCAGTTGTCTTCTCCTCCTGCTGATTTTCAGGGATGTTATCTCCACCCAATGCCAATCTGAGCCAACAGGTAACCGAGAAGCCTATTGCTCTGTTGAAACTTTCACCCTTCTTCCAGCAAATTTATTATTGATGTAACTAGCCCATCAACACGGATCACCAGCAGGATGTGAACCTAGGACCTCCAGCAGAGCCTTTTACTACTTGAGCTAAAAGGGCTACTCCATTTGATAGCAGAAGTAGTAGGTTGTTACAGTGCCGTGACAAGGGCAAGGCGAGTGAGGCACTTGCCTCGGGCACACAAAGCCGGGGAGACGCAGAAAGTGGTGGAGAGAAAAAAAAAGCTGCTGGCACGGAGATATTTATAACCCAGGTGATCTCCCCGCCCCCCCCGCCCCACCTGCTGTCCCCCCTCATGCCTCCCCCAAGTGTCTCCCGCCCCGACTTGCTCCCCTCCCCACTTCCCCAGCCCCACAGCAGAGAGTCCCGGTCTTTCCCCTGCAGCAACTGCTGCCACAGGGTCCTAGTGCCCCCGTCTCACTGCCAGGGCCTGCCCTTCCCCCTCAGAACCTTTCATTTTCCAATGGGACCCTCCAGCAGCACCCCCCCCCACCCGCACTCACCGCTCCTGCCCCATGCTGGGCAAGGAGGCAGCCCCATCCCTCACCCCCAGTGAGGATACAGTCAGGGGCAAC